AGTTGAAGATGAGAATCTTTCAGTTTTTAGAATACTTAAAAGCAAATATTGCTCTAGTAAAAATATTTTTACATAAGAACACAATGGCCATATTGGGTCAGACCCATGGTCCATCTAGCCAAAGATCCTGTCTTCTGACAGTGGCTAATGCCAGATGCTTCAGAGGGAATGAACAGAACAGGCAATCAAGCTATTCATCCACTCCCAGGGTCTGGCAAACAGAGGCTAGTGACCATCTTGGCTAATCCTCCATGAATTTACCTAGTTCTTTTTCGAACCTTGTTATAGTTTTGGCAACAAGTTTCACAGGTTGACTGTGAAGGAGTACTTCCTTTTGTTTGTTTTAAACCTGCTGCCTATTAATTTAATTGTTTCACCCCTGGTTCTTGTGTTATGTGAAGGAATAAACAACGCTTCCTTATTCTTCACTTTCTCCACACCAGTTAAGATTTTTATAAACCTCTATCATATTCTCTTCTGGTCATCTCTTTTCCAAAATGAAAAGTCCCAGTCTTAGAATCATAGAATATCAGGGTTGGAAGGGACCTCAGGAGGTCATCTAGTCCAACCCCCTGCTCAAAGCAGGACCAATCCCCAACTAAATCATCCCAACCAGGGCTTTGTCAAGCCTAACCTTAAAAACCTCTAAGAAAGAAGATTCCACCACCTCCCTAGGTAACCCATTCCAGTGCTTCACCACCCTCCTAGTGAAAAAGTTCTTCCTAATATCCAACCTAAACCTCCCCCACTGCAACTTAAGACCATTACTCCTTGTTCTGTCATCTGCTACAACTGAGAACAGTCTAGAGCCATCCTCTTTGGAACCCCCTTTTAGGTAGTTGAAAGCAGCTATCAAATCCCCCTCATTCTTCTCTTCTGCAAACTAAATAATCCCAGCTCCCTCAGCATCTCCTCATAAGTCATGTGCTCCAGCCCCCTAATCATTTTTGCTGCCATCCGCTGTACTCTTTCCAATTTTTCTACATCCTTCTTGCAGTGTGGGGCCCAAAACTGGACACACTACTGCAGATGAGGCCTCACCAATGCCGAATAGAGGGGAATGATCACATCCCTCGATCTGCTGGCAATGCTCCTACTTATACAGCCCAAAATGCCATTAGCCTTCTTGGCAACAAGGGCACATTGTTGACTCATATCCAGTTTCTCATCCACTGTAACCCCTAGGACCTTTTCTGCAGGTCCTTCTTTATATCTTTTAATATAGAAGCTGTTCCATACCCCTAATCCTTTTTGCTGCCCTTCTCTCTACCTTTTCCAATTCTAACGTATCTTTTTTGAGATGGGGTGACCAGAACTGCACACAGTATTCAAAGTGTGGGGATACTATGGATTTATACAAAGGCATTATGATATTTTATGTCTTCTTATCTTTCCCTTTCCTAATGGTTCCTAATAGTCTGTTAGCTTTTTTGACTGTTGCTGCACAATAGTTCAAAACTATTCACAATGACTCCAAGATCTTTTTCTTGAGTGGTAACAGCTAATTTAGACCCCATCATTTTGTTTGGATACTTGGAATTATGTTTTCCAATGTGCATTACTTTGCATTTATCAACATTGAATTTCATCTGCCATTTTGTTACCCAGTCACCCAGTTTAGTGAGATCAGTTTGAATTCTTCACAGTCTGCTTTAGACTTAACTATCTTGAGTAATTTTGTATCATCTGCAAAGGGTTTACCCCTTTTTCCATATCATTTATGAATATGTTGAACGGCACTGATTCCACAGACTCCTGTCGGACACCACTATTTTCTTCTCTCCATTTTGAAAACTGACCATTTATTCCTACCTTTGATTTGTCTTTTAACCAGTTACTGATCCATGAAATGACATTCCTTGTTATCCCATGGCTGCTTACTTTGCTTAAGAGCCTTTTGTGAGGGACCTAGACTTTCAGAAAGCCTTTGACAAAGTACACTGTATCCACCAAAACATCCTTGTCCACAAATTTGTTGACACCCTGTAGCGGGGTGATCACCCCGATCATGCCCTGAAGGGCTTAAAACAGCCCTGGAGGGGGCTACAGCTGGGAAAAGAAAGGCTGATTGGGGGAAGCAGCCACAGGTAGGGCCTCACCCCAGTCAGGCCACAGCTGGCCCTATAAGAGGGCAGAGGGCCAGAGACTGGAAAGCATTCTCTCTCTAGCTTTCTGGGAGAGAAGGACCTGGCTGCCTGGGAGCTGAGAAGGGTACCAAAGGTGGAGCAGTGCTGGAGAAGGGCAGAGGGAGCTGGGGAGCTCCAGCCTAGCAAAACCCCAGGCTGCAGGCCTAGTTACAGGTCTACGAAAGGGTACTTGGGCTGCAGAGGGGCAGCCCAGGGATAATCAAAGGCAGCAGGTCCAACCCCCCTTGCCGATGAGTGGTTTACAGATTGCAGTCTGCCCCAGTGAGCGGGGGCTAGATAGTGACTGGCAGTAGCCACTGAGGCAAGGTGGGGATAGAGGGTTGGGGGTTCCTCTGGATGGGGAAACCCAGCTTGTGGGTTACTGCTAGGGAGCAGGACCCTGACATAGAGGGGCACTGGGGTCCGGGAGGGACACGGGGGCCAGTGGCAGGTCAGACACCGGCCTGCAGAAGGCACTCCGGGCTGGAAGAGCTAATTCCCGAGATGACCAGCAGGAGGCTCCATGCCAGTGAGTCGTCGCCCCGGCACAAGTGGTGGAGAATGCAGGCATAGGCGGTCCACCCCTGATACAAGGGGAAGGGCAAGGACGAATGGTGAGGAACGGAAGGTGGAGACCAAAGATGGACTATTACTGGAGAGCCTGTGTGGCACGGCTCGCCGAGCACCAAGTGGGACTGCTTTAGCTGCTGCAGGGGAGGGCACATGGACTTCATCGGGGGCCAGGCACCTGGGGCTGCAGGCCGGTGCCGGGGCCTAAAAACTGTTTCGCCTGTGGGCGACTGGGACACTATAAATGGGAGTGTCCCTACCGGAATGGAGCACAGAGGCCCCACCCGGAAAAAGAGGAACTGGGGGAGCGCCCCCTGTGAAGTCAACAGGGGGGCTCCAAACTTGGGCCTGTCAGGAGCCTGGGCACAAGAAGAGGGAGTGCCCCTACGGGACTCGCAGGGCTGGCCTTGAGGTGGCCAAAGGAAGGCAGTGGATGTGCTTCCTGTGCTACAAGGGGGAACGGCCCGGACCCCAGAGAAGGAGGGGGAGGCGGGAAGATCGGGCCGGGTCCAAAACTGCCCCGAGGGAGGGGGCGGTGAAGACCAAGGCCTCAGAAGGGAGAAGGTCCGGGGCAGACGGGCCCCAGAGCAGAAGGGGAATCTACGCGAGGGTGAGACAGGCCATGGTGGAGACCCAGACAGGGAGGGAGACCCACATGGGAGCCGAGCAGGCTACAGTGGGCACCCAAAGCCTTCAAGAGGGAAGCAGGTTGTTCCAGACAGTGGAGAGCCTGCGGCAGGAGCGGGATTCCCTGTGAGCCCAGCTGCGAGGGAAGCTGGGGCAATAGGGAGGCCCCCCCCACCATCAGCTTTCTTAAAGAGGGAGGGTGTGTAGCGGGGTGGTCATCTAAAAAGAATGGCTCAGGTGTGGGAATCTCCCTCACATTCTTTTCAGCGAAGACAAGCAAAGAATTCAGTTTGCCTGCAATGGCCTTGTCTTCCTTGAGTGCTCCTTTAACATCTCAATTGTCCAATGGCCTCACTGATTGTTTAGTAGGCTTCCTGCTTCTTGATGTACTTAATTTTTTTGCTGTTTGTTTTTGAGGCTTTGGCTAGTTGCTCTTCAAATTCTTTTTCACCAGCCTAATTATACTTTTATACTCTACTTGCCAGAGTTTACGCTCCTTTCTATTTTTATCAGTAGGATTTAACTTCCAATGTTTAAAGGATGCTTTTTTGCCTCTAACCACTCCTTTTACTTTGTTTTTCAGCCATGATGGCATTTTTTTGGTCCTCTTACTATTTTTTTTTATTTGGGGTATACATTTAATTTTAACCTGTGTTACAGTGTTTTTAAACAGTTTCCATGCTACTTACAGGTATTTCACTTTTGGACTATATCTTTTAATTTCTGTTTAACTAGCTTCCCCATTTTTGTGTTCCCCTTTTTTAAATCTCCAAATAAGAAGACACAGCATTTCTCTGAGCAACTAACAATGAGAAGCCAACCTCCCACTGTGTTTACTAAAAGATTCCATTCATGGTTTTAAAAAAGTCTCAAGGGTCTATGATTTAATTATGTGGGATACAAAGAGTCTGAATAGGACTGCCAAATGTGTTTGGGCATATGATTTATCTATGAACTTTCAATTAGATAAACAGATGGGAGTAGACAACTCTACAAAAATGATGATTTCTTCCTTCCAAATATTAATTTACTCAACATTGTGTGACACAGACTATCTGATGTCCATACAAACAAGGAAAGTCATTATCTACATAACTCAGATGTAAAAAAAAAAAAACAAGGCAGGAAAACTCTTTTGGTGTTTATGGGTCTGGCATAAATTGCAAACATTCTGGGCTGGAAGTTAGCAAATGGATGGTTGGAGCTGTTTGAATGGAAAACAGTGGGGACTCAGGTCATAGCCAGATCCTCAGCTAGTGTAAATCAGCGAGCTCTATGGAAGTCTATGGAACTAGACTGATTCACATCAGTTGAGGAGGTTGACTTTGTTTGATAAAGAGGTCCTATTGCCTAAGAAGGTTCTAAACAACTTTTCTCTATAGCAGGTGGGTATTTTGCCTATGTATTGTTTGTTTTGAATGGTAAGTGATGAAGAGCTGGATGCAAAAAAAAGAAGATATTTAGAGAGTTATTTTCAATCCTTGCTTAAGACTTTGGACATTGAGGATTTTCAATCAATACTGAAGACCCCCTGATGGTGAGATGACAGAAGCACTGTATCCCATGACACAAAAAGATGGTGTTGAATAAATCATTCTGGTGAGTTGGGCTATTTTTGGATATCAATAAAAGGTTTTGTAGTGTTAGGGTAGTGATATAATAGAGACAGGTACTCACATTACAATTGGAAGACCCGTCAAATGTTGGGTACGAGCCGTCAGGCCAATCTGTAGAGTCTATGATGCCTGACTGCCTGTGCTGGGCCTCATATTCCTTCAGCTGAAATGAAAGAACAAAGAAATGTTACTCAATGGATACTGAACTATGAGATCTGCATAAATCAGCAACAAATAGTCACTTTCAGTTTCTGTCCATACTGTTGTAAAGATGGGAAAAACAGAACTTCTGCAGTGCATTTCTCGTTTTTAATCCTCTAATTACATTAGAATGGAAAAAAAGTTTTGAGGTAATGACACTAATCAAAAGGAGGAAGTGATCTGGAAACATTGTATATTTTAACTAATGAATTGTGGCTCACAAGATGCAAATTACACATTCCTTGTTAAAGAAACACTTTGCACTGCATAGGTTAACTCAAGGTAGTCTTTGTACCTCCCTTACAAAGAAAGTGATCTAGGGATGGAAGTTTGAGATTTAGCTCTTTTAAATTTAAAACTAATGATTATCTTTATTGTTTTATAATAAAAAGTATAATACACAGAAAAGAACCAACTCCTAATGGGTCAAATTGTCAACGAGGACACTGAAGTTGGACACAAGCATTTTGCTTGCATCTGTTGTGCATGCAACATGAGAATGGTCCCCTAGCAAATTTGGAAGTTGCATATTTCAGTAACTATTTGTGTGCACAAGTGTGGCATTTGCAGACACAATGGATGTATATAAGCATGTAGCCATCAAAATTCAGGTTTGAAAATTAGGTCCCAAACATTCTCAGTTCCTGGTTTACATTTCTGATTAAAGTCCATTGACATCAGTGGAAAGACTGTCATTGACTTGAAGGGGTTTTGGATCAAGACCTAAATTTGTTAAGGGAAACAAGATAAAATCACTGATGTACATTTTATTGTTAGTAATTCAGGCCACTAGGGGGAAGAAGTGCAACTACAAGCATAATGCATATTATACTTTATTATTACACACAAAAAACAATGCAAAGGTAAAGAATTAAATTGCAGAGAAAATGAGAAATTTCTTAGTGTTAAGGTTACACTAGGAATCTTAATGTTTTTTATTATATGATTTCATACATGTTAGCGAATGGGGCATACTATTCACCAAACAACATACAATATAAAAGAGAAGGTAGCGGAGGTAATATCTTTTACTGGACCAACTTCTGCTGGTGAAAGTGACAAGCTTTGGAGCTTCACAGAGCTCTTTTTAAGGTCTGGGGAACCTAACCAGAGTGTCCGAGGCTATGTCTACTCTACAAAGTTATGTCGACCTACGTTACGTCAACATACAGCTGCTGCTCACACTGGTGGGTGTGAATACTTGGCTCATTGTGTTGGTAGTGCGTGTACTCCCCAGGAGTGCTTGTATCGATGCAGAGTGCAGTGCACCATGGGTAGGTATCCCACTGTGCAACTCACCACCATCCAGCCTTTTGGGAAGTTTTTGCAATGCCTGATGGGAGCAATCAGTGCACTGGATGAGGTACACCACATGCTGTGATAGGCATGTGTAGGACCCATTGTGTTGCGGGGGATATTGATCATCATAGCAGTGGAGAGTGTCTGCAGCTTTTGCATCAGTGGTTATGGCAGGGTCCAGTGCACCCTTGTATTTATCTGTGACGCTCTGGGTACCATTCCCAGACCTGAAGAAGAGCTCTATGTAAGCTCAAAACCTTGTGTCTCTCTCACTAACAGAAGTTGATCCAATAACAGATATTACCTCACCTACCTTGTGTCTCTAATATCCTGGGATTAACATGGCTACAACACTGCATACATACAATATAAAATAAAGGATCTTCATCTTTTTTGTCACTCTAACTCAAGGAAGTGTGTGTAAATAAACAGAATGTAAATGAGCACCATTTTATGCTTAAACTCCACCTTTTTCCATAACCTAAGCTGCACATACATAATACTTGGTGTTACCGCATGTATGTTGTGTGATCACGTATTTGCACAAAGGGACAATGTTATTGCTGTGGCAATCTGAACACTGAATTTCTTGGCTCTTATGCAAATGTCAACCTTAATGCTACATTAACATATATATTATATTTCTTGGGATTTTATATCTTAAAAAAATAAATCGCAAAGGAAAGTTCGTGTGAGCCAGTGCATTTTGTGAAAAAAAGCATCTGCCTTAATTTTAACGGCAAGTCCCCCAAAATGGCTGAACAGATTTTCATGAAACTTGAACAAAACAAATCATCTTTTGTCTAAGAACAAAAATGGAAAATTCCTGCTCTAGGAGACATACCCATGCTAGCTCTGATTGAGCTGGCACACTAAAAATAGAGCAGAGCCCAGTGGCTAGCCCCTCTCGCTGTCATGCTGCCCTGGCTATACTCTATTTTTATGGGCTATCTGGATCAGAGCTAGTGCAGGTATGTCTTCTTGAGCTAGGAATTACACTCCCAGATCAAAGTGTATGTGTAGCCCTGAGCAGCATGACAACAGCTAATGATAAGCACATTCTAGCAAGAACAGATAAAAACTGCAAAGCCTGACATGGACAATGTGCAATACAGAAAGGTACAGTGGTGAGGGAACATCAGATGAAATCTTATGCTTATTTGTGAGGAATCAATTGAAGCAAGATGTTAGATGGCTATTTACAGTGCTAGCCTGAATGTGGTATTAAAAACTAACCAACACTGGGCTTGGTCAGTACGCAGATGGGGGAACTTCAACAGGAAAAGGGCTTGCAGAAGTGTGCGCTGAACAGGTGCAGGCTGTCCTCTTACATAGGGAACAAGCTCCCTTAGCTCAGACAGCCTGAATGCTTTTGAAATATTCTGACTTCATGTAAGTGATACTTAGAATATATTTATTTAAAGATGCACTGATACATCTACTCTGTCTCCATTTAGCATATGATAAAACTATTTGTTTTATTATTTTATAAAACACTGCAGAGTCTATATTATTATTTATACATTGCTATGAATGCACAGAGTCCCTCACAGGCAAATAAAATTTAAGATATCCCTGGCACAAGGGAATCACAATTTGCAGGTGTATCTCCACTACAAGCGCTACAGTGGCACAGCTGCAGCTATGCCACTGTAGTGTAGACACTTGTCAGTGATGGGAAGATGTTTTTTCTTTCACCGTAGTAAATCCACCCCCTCAACAGGCAGTAGCTAGGTCTATGGAAGTTTTAGGTGTAGATCAGACCTGAATTTGACACTACACAATGAGAAAGGATAGTGAATGATGTGGCTGTGATGGAAGTTAGGATAAGAAAACAATGATGACTCAATTACTTGCAGTCATGTGATTAGCTTTCACCACATGCATCAAGGGTCTACCCTCTTTAGAGGTTACACAGAATTGTTTTATGATGTTCAGTAAGACTTCAGAGTCCAAACTATTCATCATATTTTCCTTCTCTTAATGGGCACAGTCATAAACCCAAACCTTTGAATGTCTCAGACTGGTGCATTTTACAGCCTGGGGTATTTTTCTGAAGTTAGTGAAATTGACTGTGCTATGCATGCTTGGCATTTAGTATTGTAACTGATATCTCAGCCTAATTCTTTTCCAAACATGACTAAGGCACTGGTTCTCATTCAGAACTACATATATGTTGGGCTTGAAAGCATAAGAAATTTTGTATCAAAAAGGATACTTGTTTCTTGAACAAAGTTAGAAGTGTTTGAAAATAGGCGTTTAGTTTGAAAGTGCAACCTCAGCCTTTACTGTGGAGTCAGCCTCGTGACCTTATGATAAAGTGCCGGCACTATCACACTCCGCAGAGATACTGTGGACCACCACTTTGTTCTTTGCACAACACTCCACTATTCAGAAAAACACCCTGCTAGGGCCAACAGATGACAGGATACAGGGCATCCTCCCCAGAGGAAACTGGGATAGAACGAATCATGGGTAACTATATGCATCTCATACCCTAGCAAGTGCTTCCTCAATAGTGATCATCTTCTCTTTCACCATCATCATCAGCTGGATCCGTTCCTCATCGCTCATTGTGATCTCACTTGCCACATAACCAACATCCTCTCCTGAAGAAGAAAGGAAGAGATGCAACGCACATATAAAACGACTCAGCACCGAAAGGCAAGTGTTTGGAAACAAGCATTGGCGATACTGCTTCAGTTCCAGAACCCAGTTCCCAGTTGGGTCAGGCTAGGCTGGATGAACCCTCCCCATAGGCCACAATTTGATCTGTGTAGGGGAAAACTGCGGTTGTCACAACTTCGTGACTGATACTGCATCAGGCAGAGGTAGGCAGCGTAACAACACAGTGATGTACCTGCAGGTTGCCAGTTTTGTTCCACTGGAAAATACAGGAAAGAGGGCAGCCTTATTTCTCCACAGTGATGGCCCCTCGCCTACAATAAACGTCCTACTGTGTGTGCTGAAATCAGCAGAGTTTGGTAAGAAGAAAGCAGATGCAGCCAAAATCATAATGTGTATAGGTGTATACATACCACTGATTAGGATCACATTTGAAAGTGGCCAGAGCAGTAAAGGGAGCAACCTGCCTTGATAAGTCACTTCTAAAGACATTTTTTTACATCCTAATCAGAGTCCTGTCATCTTTAACAAACTTTCACCACGTTCATTATGCCTGTTCAGCGGTTTGGGGAGGCATCTGCCTGCAACAGAGTGATCCAACCAGGAGAGAGTGCGTTTGCAAGCAACTTCCTGCTCTCCACGTTTGCGCTACAGCATCACTGCACCTGTGTGACTCTACGACAGTACAGAGCTACGCTCAGTGTCCACTTGGAGCAGAACTGGGGAAGGAGCCCCGATAACCTAACTGGTGGATTCATCTTATGCGTTTTCATTTGCAAATACTTTCATCCCTTTTTATGCTTGCAAACGGGCACTATGCAGACCCATGCTGAGCTCAGCCTTAAAGCAAATTGGAGAAGATACTGCAGAGCCAAAGCAGGGTGAAGTCTCTTGCTAACTATTCCTTAAACAAACATGTCAGCCATAAGAATAAATCATAGCAAGTGTAGCCAATAAATACAAAGTATCTTTAGACCTCCTATTTACATGCCAGATGCAACCTATCTTAAACGTACAGCTTTTTTCAACCCAGCTTCAATTGAAAATCTCTCTCTCTATTTGCAATGGTAGGAACATTCTGAGCCTCCAAATTGTGACTTGCCACAACCTCCCTCAAATCAGCTGGGTTAGGCCAAAGTGAGCAAATAAGAGATCAAGAAGCATCAAAGCACAGCCTTGGGGCAAAAAAAGGGGATCAGATGTTATATTTGAAGATATGCCTTTCCCATTCCCCAGGATTTCACACTGATATTTTCATATTATTCTAGGGCATTTAGACATACATCTTCCACTAATAGAGCACTCTTATCTCCCATTGACTTTAACAGGCCACCCAGAACCTTGCAGGATTGAGGCCTAACAGAATACAGCGGATAACTCATCCTTTGAGTGCAGCTAAAGCAGGGGTGGGCAAACTACGGCCCATGAGCAATTTTAAGCTGGCCCGCGAGTGGAGTCTGGGGCTTGCACTGCTCCAGCTGGGGCGCGCACTGCTCCAGCTGGGGCGCAGGGTCGGGGGCTGCACTATGCGGCTCCCGGAAGCCGCAGCATGGCCCCGCTCCAGCTCCTATGCACTCCAATGGCCACCTCTGGTGCTCCAAGGGGAGTTACAGGGGTGGGGCTTGTGGACAGGGCAGGGTGCAGAGCTGCCTGGCCGCACCTCTGCATAGGAGCCGGAGGGGGGGGGACATGCCGCTGTTTCCAGGAGCCGCTTGAGTAAGTGCCACTTGGAGCCTGAGCCTCTCCGCATGCCCCAACCCCCTGTCCCAGCCCTGATCCCTCTCCCGCCCTCCGAACCCCTCAATCCCAGACTACAGCACCCTCCTGCACCCCAAACCTCTCATTCCCCAGCCCCACCCCAGAGCCCACACCCCCAGCCGGAGCCTGCACTCCTCATTTCTGGCCCTATCCCAGAGCTCCCACCCCCAACCAGAGCCCTTACCCCCTCCCGCACACCAACCCCCAATTTCATGAGCATTCATGGCCCACCATACAATTTCCATATCCAGATGCGGCCCTCAGGCCAAAAAGTTTGCCCACCCCTGAGCTAAAGTCACAATGGACCAAATCTGATCATATTTATCTAGCATATTAGACCTACATAGATCCCTATTTGCCAAGTTACTATAATGTTTTAGTTTCTGTTTTGTGATTCTTGTTTCTTAGACTTTAAGGAGCTACAGAGACTCATTTTTAATGCAGTATGTCACTGTGTCTGTAAAGGTTTTACCTTTCGAAGTCTGTCTCATTATTCCTTTCTGATTCTTTCGGAAATTCTGCCAAAAATACTTATTCTTCTTTTTCCAGTCTGCTTTCCCTTAAGAAAAATGTACAGGAAAGGAACATTAATATGAAAATTAGATTTTCCTCTTTGAAAACTTCAGCATGTAACTTTACCAAGAAAGAAAAATTCCCCAATTTTTCTCATTTTCTGAATTTGATCTGTACAAGACTTGTGCTAATCTCGCTATCTAAAATAAATGTACGTTCTTTGGCATCAAGGATGGTTGTGGAGGATTGAGATAAGTTACCAAGAGGCATTTTTTGAATTATAAAACACAGACCCTTTTGTGTTCTTGTTGACATTTTAACCGTTCATGTCAAGCCTGGCTGTATTTTTGCAGCATTTTGTTTTTTATTCTCTTTAGTTAAGGCACAATTATTTTAGACTAAACCCCAGCTCAGATAAGGAAGTTTATTTTATTATATGTTCCCTTTGCTGATCTGCATGAGAAATGCTATGAGACCATTAACTACATCTGTGATTCCTGCCATTCATTTGTTTTCTAGTTTTCTCCGTTTAAATCAGGTGCAGGTAGCCTGAGAAGGAATAAAAACCAAATACCCTCAGCAAAAACCTCAGGATTTTATAACTCTAGCTAATGAGGACCAGAGCTAGTTCCAGGAGCTGAGTACGAGAGGGCAGTCTGAAAAATAAACTTTGAAATACAAATACACCATTTAAAAACAACACAAAGTATCTCAAAAATTAAGGGAGAGAGGCTGGCAAATTATGCCTAATGATTTGAAAGTTAGTGCAGGAGGTGGCTTGAACAAGGCAAATGGACAAACCAGCAATGATCTAACATTCAAGGATTTGCAACTCATGAGTTGCATATTTACAAAATGACAATATTAGCTGGACTGGATCTGTCTGCCACTTGTAGATGCTGCACCTCATTTTCAAAGGTGTACCCTCCGCCCCCCTCCCACAACTTCCACAAACTTCAGTTAGGATTGTCGGTATTCAGCTCTTCTGATAACACAACATACACAAAACTTAAAGAGATGTAAGAATTAAACAGAGGGAAACATGAAATGAAACATACTTACCTACAGAGTTTTCTTCAGAACTTGATTTATGAAGGGAAAGCCTAGAACACAAAAGAAAAATGGACTAATTATTGCAGAGTTCTCACATCTCCTGAGAGCTATCTGATTACAGTAAATTGTGGTTTCAAGAGAATGTATCAGCAAATGTTTTCCCTTCTTTTTCTTCTAAATGTAGCTATTTACAAACAGCCTCTCAGCTCTGATCGCAATAGTTTGACCACATGAACTCAGTTCCTCTCTGAAAACCCTGAAACAAGTTTTTTGACCAAGACAGACAAATATGCATTTAAAACCCCACAATTACATCTAAGGGATCATAAGGAGCCCTGATTCACATATTTTTCTTCTTCTATATAATAAAGTAGCATTCTGACTAATTTAGAAGCTGTATTTCTGTGATCCTGTATTCATTTAGACTAAGGTTACGTTGTTTAACTGACAGTATAACTCTTTGCACTTCTATAGTGCCTTTCATTTTAAGAGCACAAAATGCTTTATGACTATAGTAAAAGCTGTTTTATCTGGCATGTTGGGGGCATAGGGGGTGCCAGTTAACTAAGAGGGAGGGAATTTGGGTGTGGGAGAGGGTGCGGAGCTGGGGCACAGGAGGGGATGCGGGCTCTGGGAGGGAGTCTGGAAGCGGGAGGGGGTTCTGGACAGGGGGTTGGGACACAGGAGGGGACTCGGGGTGCCGGAACCGGGGGGCGCTCACCTCAGGCGGCTTCACGCAAGCGGCAACCTGTCCTGGCTGCTCCTAGGTGGAGGAACGGCCATGGAGGCTCTGCACGCTGCTCCTGCCCCACCCCGAGCACTGGCTCTGCAGCTCCCATTGGCCGGGAACGACGGCCAATGGGAGCTGCAGGCAAGGCTGGCTTTAGGACTTGTGGGGCCCAATTCAAATACCCAGCGGTCCGCTCCGGGTCTTCCGCAGCACTGAAGGACCCCACCACCACCGAAGTGCCGCCGAAGACCTGGAGTGGACCCCCCACCGCTGGGTGAGTAAAAAAAATTTAAAATTTAAAAAGGCACCTAAGGTGCGGGGCCCTCTTAGGTGCGGGCATGGGGCCCTCTTAGCGCGGGGCCCGATTCCGGGGAATCGGTGGAATCGGCCAGAAGCCGGCCCTGGCTGCAGGGGCAGCGCCTGGGCGGAGGCAGCGCACAGAACCGCCTGCTGCACCTCAGCCTAGGAGGAGCCAGGACAGGTCGCCGCTTGCGGGGAGCCATGCGGAGCCAGGTAGGGAGCCTGTTGGCCCTGCACCAACCGCACTATACACCGGCCTTTCTATGAAGATTAGAAATGCTGGTTTAGAGAGCTTTCCAGTTGGTACAGAGCCGAATAACACAACTTTTACTGTACTCATTAATTAAACCCTCACCATACCATTGTGAGAGAGGGAACTATCATTTCCCTAACTTTACTGATGGGAAACCAAGGCACGGAAAAGCTAAGTGCCTTGCCTCAGATCAGACAGGATGTCTGCGGCACAGCTGATTATCAGTCACTCTCCTGACTCCCAGCATGTGCTTTACTATCACTTCCTCACTCAAAATCCAGCTAAAAGGACTTATTTTGTAGCCCATATTATGTAAGAATATCAGCCAAAGTGATAAGTAACTCTCATTTGCTCCGTTTTTAAGTCCATGAATAATAGTTACTGAACTTTGCAAAGTTCTTTGAAATCTTCAGATGAAAATCTCTATCTAGGAGTCTGAAGCAAAGCCCGTTTAGATCAATGAAAATATTTCTGTTGGCTTCAATGGCCTTTGGATCACACACTCAGTGCAGGCCATTATTAGTGTGATTATGTGTGCATAGTGCTCTATTACATTATACTATACAATAATGCCTGATAATACAATGCCTATGTTGTACCTATGCAAATAAAAACATGCATATTTCAATATATGAAAAAAAACACAAAACCAATCCCCTCCACACCAGTTTTACAAACCAAGTCTTGTATACAGTACATGTGTACTCTACTTACAGCATTCAGAGTGGTAGCCGTGTTAGTCTGTATCAGCAAAATCAACATGGAGTCCTTTGGCACCTTAGAGACTAAAATTTATTTGGGCATAAGCTTTCATGGGTTTGCAACCCCCCATCTTTTCATGTACTATGTATATACATCTTCCTACTGTATTTTCCACTCCATGCATCTGATGAAGTGGGTTTTAGCCCACAAAAGCTTATGCCCAAATAAATGTGTTAGTCTCTAAGGTGCCACAAGTACTCCTCGTTGTTTCTACTTACAGTAGAACCTCAGAATTACAAACACCTTGGGAATGGAGGTTGTTTGTAACTCTGAACAAAACGTTATGGTTGTTCTTTCAAAAGTTTACAACTGAACATTGACTTAATACAGCTTTGAAACTTCACTATGCAGAAGAAAAAATGCTGCTTTTAACCATCTTAATTTATATGAAACAAGCACAGACAGTTTCCTTACCTTGTCTTTTTCTTTAAACTCCTCCCCCCCCTTTTTAAGCAGTTTACATTTAACTGTACTGTATTTGCATGTGTGTGTGTGTGTGTGTGTGCGCGCGTATGTGTCTGCTGCTGCTTGATTGCGTCCTTTCCAAATGAGGTGTGTGGTTGACTGGCCAGTTCGTAACTCTAGTGTTTGCAACTCTGAGGTTCTTCTGTATTTCATTTTTGTCTGAATTCCCCATGCTCTTCTGCATTTTCTTGGGTTCCCAGCAGAGGGCACCGCAGAGTTTTTGATCAATTCAGAAAACCTCCAAAGCAAAAACTTTTTTGTTTCATACCGATTCACAATGTAAACAATCCAAGCAATTACAGGCCAGCATTTTGTAAGCATGAAAATCATGCTCATCAATTTGAAAAGACATCATTAAAGGGAAAATGAGATAGCATGAAGTTTAGTTTTGATTCAGTAATTCATCCGAGCAAAGAGAAGCTGGCACAGCAGAGCTGTGAAATGCCATCTCCTTTCTACTTCAGTCTGATTAGAAATGTAATCCGGCACAAACGGCAAACCAGCTGATGCAACCACATTCCAGATTTGGACTGCACCAGGTGGAAGGGGGCATTTGTTGATATCCTTGCTGATGAAGTTTACTTTTGGATGGGATAACTTCTAGGGCAGTGGGTTTCAAACTTTTTTACTGGTGACCCCTTTCACATACCAAGCCTCTAAATGTGACCCCTCTTATAAATTAAAAACACTTTTTTATATGTTTAACACCATTATAAATGCTGGAGGCAAAAGCGGGATTTGGGGTGGAGGCTGACAGCTCGTGACCCATGTAATAATCTCGTGACCCTCTGAGGGGTCCTGACCCCCAGTTTGAGAACCCCTGTTCTAGGGAGAAAATGAATAACCTAGGTGGTTCACAGCACTTGCAGTCAATATTTGGTTTTCAGGAAAGAGCTTGAACAACAGGCACAGGAGGAAAGTTCTCAGTCCCTTTAGATTTTGAATGAAATACTAGCCTCACTGAAGTCAGTGACAAAACTCCCATTGACTTCAATTTCTAATGGATTTCTAATGTAATGATGGCAGTGGCATTTCCTAAACGGCATCACTCACTCATTCCTCGATCCCAAACATAAAGCACACGGACCTTTCTATGAGCGCAACCTCAGAACTTGGCTTTCAGCCTCTATGATGAAAGAACTAACCCTGTTACCTTTTTGCGCCTTTGCATGGACTTCAGCATCCAGCAAATACTTTTTTAGCGAATTCAGTGCTCATGGAAGGTGCCAAACTGACATCCCTGGAAAACAAAGTCCTATTTATTATCAGAACAGGAACACCGTAGGCCGAGCCATGAAAGCTTCTCCATGCTGCTCCATCATGGCAGCTCTGCCTTGAGCCAGAGAGACCATTTCTTGTGGCGAGAGGGTTGTTCAGCCTCCAAATCCATATTACTCCTCTTCTTCACTGCCAAAGCTGCCAACCGGGATGCATGTACCAGGTGTGGTGCTGGTGTTGTGGCATCGGTTCACTAGGGAGTGGCCCACCAACTCATTTCACATCAACTACCCAAGCCTTGCAGCAGCAGCAATCTTTGGATGTTCCTGGGCTAGATATAGTGATGGAGGGGAGATGTCCACAGCCAGCAGGCCAACATCTAATTTGTAACTCTGACTTAGGGGGGAAAAAAAAAAGATACTGAGTATTGTCCTAGGATGCAAATTCCTGGCACCAGACAAAGCAAAGAGATAATACTTGGGTAGAAGGGCAAACATGTCCAATCGTTATTTCATGCATTCTCTAATTCCGAAGTCTTCCATCTCTGGGCTGACCTTGAAAATACTAACAGCTTGTCTTACAAGATGGAAAAGTAGAGTGTTCAATAAGACAAGGCACTTGCCTGTAAGTTCTCCCAGACAACTTTGATTTTTATGTATTTATTTATTTATTTATTACCAAGGATATAAAAACATCAATCGTTTCACTTCTTACAGGTATGGTGAAAGATTCCATAGGCCCTCAGAGTTGGTTTCTGTTTGATTTGCCAATTACACTTCCTTACTATGTTAAATCTGCAGCTCCTCTGTGAACGTGCGCTGAAAGTGATTTGTGTTCTTCCATTCATAGACTGATAACTTGTACTGAAAGTTAATGATGCAGTGACACTTGGCAGAAGTTTCAGCACTGCATGTCTGAAAGGCAGCCAAATGCCATTACTCTACTGGGGAGGCCTTCAGTTTTGTTGTGCTCTGATGTACAACTTCATTAGTAGGCTTCCATATGAAATGTATTCTGTCACAGCATATACCTGAGAAATCTATGGATCTAGCTTCAGACAAGAAGGATATATTGCCAAGTATATTCCACAAAGAGGAGAGACAAGGTGGGTGAGGTAATATCTTTTATTGGACCAGCTTCTGTTGGAGAGAGAAACAAGCTTTTGAGCTTACACAGAGCTCTTCTTATAGAAATATTTTCCAAACCTATGTAGGATACAAGTTTAGAAACATCCAGAACTTTATCTGTGAATCTCACAATTTCAAAACCATCCCTAGGCCTATTTTTAAGACCTTGTGGGCCTGAGATGTGGAAACAAGAAA